ACCGGTTTGGCTTCACTGTCAATGTTCAGGGTATGGCAAATGACATTTGGGCTGATCCCGACCATGTCGGCATGCATCCATGCGAACACATAGATGTTTTGTCTAAGGAAGCTAGTCAGGTCGCTGGCGAGTTGGGGGTTGAGATTGCTTCCAATCCTCAACACTTTGCTCGACTCGCGCTGGTCGATTGACACTTCAGATAAATCCTCAACTGGCCCACTGGAAGGGTATTCCTGGATATGAGGATCCATGTTATCCTTGGTTAGGCCAGGCTATGGTTCAATCCGCCTGATCGCCATTGCCTGTTTAGGAATGCCACGCGAGATGCCTTTCCCCTTGCACGCCATCTGTATTGCCTTTACATAGCAATCGCGAGATGCGAACTAAGATCCGCTTACTTCCCCTATACCCATCAAGGTGGGGAACTTCATCTTGAGAGGGTAGATCGAAGTGACTGCTTTGAAGTTCCTCAGTAGAGGTTGCCCTAGAATGCCATTGAAAGGGGACAGGCAATCCACTATTAAGAATTCAGTTATTTTGGTCACCTCGTCAGAGTTACCCAACGTGATTGGAAGCGAGATCGTTCCTTTGGGGATCAGATGATCCCCTGTAAAACCATATAGGGGGATTGAGGCCGGCTTCAAGTCGGCCTCATCAAATTTTATTCTCTTGAAAGCTGGCTGAAACAGAATGTTCACAACGCTTCTGTTGTCCACCAACATTTTGTGGACGTCGAAGTGCCTTAGTTGGGGCGTGATGATGAGAGCATCATCATGGGGATGATGCAACTGAATTGCATCTTTTTCGGAGAAGGTGATCTCTTCCTCTCTACGAACCTTTGATGGTCGTTGCGTAGTGTTCATCACACAGATAGAGTCGTGATGGGCTGTGCGAGCATATCTTTCTTGGGCACCTTGTGAGTTTCCTCCGAGGTGTGGTCCTCCAAAGATTATCCCCACGCTACAGATACCCTTGCGATCACGACACTCCTTACTCGTTTCTCTCGATTTTTCTCCCTTACAAGAGCAAAGTCATCAACATACTCTTTGAAATGCCCTTGCTTGATAAGATCTTCAATTGCCTGCTTGAGAGCTCAACACTCATCGGTGTGATGCCCACTTTCCCGATGATAACGATAATATTTTTTGTTGTTTCTGAATGAGGAGGGACTTTTCATGGGGTCAGACTCTCTGAGCAGACCAACCTCTTCTGACTTATCAAGAATGGCCGAAACGGATGCATTCAAAGGGGTATACTGATTCCTGTCGCGATTGCGACGAGGAACTAGAGCATAAGACTTTTGGGGCTCGAACCATGGTTTCTTTCATTTTCATCGATCGTCATTAGCCCATCTGCGATCAACTCTCCTATTTTCCCCCCAACCTGGTGCACTGCCAAAAGTGCCAGGGTCGTGGCGGTGAAGCGCTGCCACAGAGTTCTCAATACGGAGGTATTTCTCCATAAGGCTGTAACAGCGGGTGAGAGAAACATCGTCCTCTGATTGCAGCTCCTTCCACAGATCTGTCTGTGGACAAACTCGCACTATGATAAGAGTTCGAACGGATTCTTCGAGAGTGTGAGCTACTTTATGGAGCTCTCTATGGAACCTATCGATGTAAGATTGGATGGATTCATCCCTTTCTTGCCTTATGTTGCTGAGGTAGCTAAAAGGCATCAAGAACTTCCTGTTCGCTTAGAAGTGTCTCAAGAATGTCAAGCTCATCTGATTCCACGAGCTGATTGATCCCGGCAGGAGTGACTTGAACCACCGTTTGGCATGAGATGTAAGAGTTACTGCCAAGCATTGGCATTTTGCCAAATCAGAAACTTGGTGAAATTCCATCAGGTCATTGAATTCGTATAAATGATCTTGCGGATCAGAATTTCCATTGAACGCTCGCATATCGGGCATTTGAATCTGGATGGGAGAGGGGCAGCTAACACAGCCGAAAAAAAGGGAGACTCCTCTACGACCTGCCCTCGCTCCTTTTGCTGAGCCTTTAGTTGATCCAGAGCTTGTTATAGCTCCTCAATCTAAGGCAGTAGAGCCATCTGGGGATTGCTTTCCCCCATGCGGGTTCGACCCTCGCGATTACGGTTAAGGAAAGTCCAAAGGTCGGATTTCTCCTCGTCTCGGTCGGCAGTTTCGGCCACTCTTGACAGACGTTGGCTAGAGTCATGCGATAGCAATGAATGGTCCGAGGAACCTTCCCGACCTCTGCGATTGTGCGAACCGACCCGCAGACGATAGGAACTTCCCGCGCAACGACGATCGGGGTCATCATTTTGGCGATAGCGAGAATCTCCTCGCCTTGCACTTTTTTGGGAGTGCTCACATGATGTGGCATGGGACAACTCGGGCTACGACCTGTCACTCAGTCTTTATGCCACGAGTATTCTACCCGGGGTGCGGTCGGTGTTCACTGGTCCCTCGGAGCCTCTAAGCCCGTTGTTCGCCACCTGTTTTCCCTTCCTTTGACACGCTGCAGTTCGCGCGACACAGGTTATCGCCCTTTCATACGACCTACATGTGTTTTAGGCAGTGGCACCGCCTCATTTGATTGGGTGGTGTAACCCGATCCAAATGGTCCAACCTTTGGTTGACCGTTTGGAGAGTATTGTTGAACCTCTCTAAGTAGCTCATGACTGCTGGGTCAAGCCGTGAGCTTGAAGGAATATCCCCCACGAGATTTTGCGAAACTGGGGGAACTTCGGAAGAAGTGTCCTCTTGCACTTGGGGGATTTCTCCCTCACCATGGTTGGTTCGTTCAGATTCGAAGTTGCGAGCATTTGCTGTTGTAGGACCAACTAGTTGGAAATTCTCCTGATGAAGGACGAATACTAAATCAGGCCATTCCTCTAGCGCCAAACTGTTGATGCTTGATTTTGACACCAACTAAATGCATGTGGGAAATGCTGAGCTGGCTCAGAAGACAAACGTGTATGGGGATATTGAACTGAATAGAAGAAGAACAATGTTTAAAGTGGTTCGGATGCTTAAATAAGTGACTCCTACGTCCACTTGTATTGTATTAATATATGAGATTAGGTCGCGTTCAGCGAACTGACTTACAAGAGATTACAAGAGAAAGAGAGAGAATATATGCTATTCTAGAGAGAAATTAGCTAATCCCACAAACAGGACAGAATCCTTTTATCTATAGTGGGATGAATTGAGGTAATGATTACTAAATCAGGGAATGGGTCAGATTGTCGTGTAAATCCTTCTTTGCGTCCCGTTATTCACCTACTCAAGTGATTTACTCGATTCTTGCAGGGATTGGACACATGGATCACCTCCAGCCTTTCACCAGCCTGGCGCACACCTACTGCACTGGTAGGAGCATGCCTCTTGTGTCAGCGTGCGACGTGGCTGCATCTGAATAGTTGTTGGACTTACTTAAGCTTTGACCACTTATGCTGACAGGGCTCTATATCAGCCTTACTTTTCCAGACATAACAATGATAAACAATGCATTTTATTCTACTAAAGCCCATATTAAGGGAGGATTTTTAACTGATTATCTATTTTTATATTAAATTCTTGCAAATTATGCGAGCATTTAAAATTGTATAGTGTTTGACATTGTTTATGTATTCAATTCCTAATATAATCTATAATAAGAGTAGTGCGCTATTGATGTACTTAGGGGCATAGTTGTCAAATCACGTATCGTATCGTGTATTGAAAACCTAATTTTTTGAATCGTGTTTCTCGTATCGTATCGTATCGTATCATAGAATACACCTTTTTCAAAAAAATTAATAAAATAATAAAAATTTTCTAAAAATTAATATCATTCCAAAGATTAATTAAAGAATTTTGTGGTATTATTGGCTTTAAATTATGATATTACGTAATCAAAATTAATCACAAAATTAAGAATCTATATCATTTTCTCTCAACCATTAATATTATTTCCAAGATCAATGTCAATATCTATATCTTCACTTGTATTACTATTATCATACAAAATGAGCAACACATGTTCCTCTTCAATTTCTCTATGCAAAATGAGTAAATTTGGGCAGGTTTTAGTGAACTGGGTTGGGTGACCTGGATCCAACCCAAACAAATTAATAAAGTCATATTGATTTGTATCAATATTTTGAAGGATATGAATGGATATGTATCATATCGTAGGATACATATCAATGTATCGAAAGGTTTAGGATCATGGTTGTCAAATCGCTTATAGTATCATGTATCGAAAACTTAATTTTTCGAATCATGTATCGCGTATTGTATAGTATTGTATTGTATCGTATTGTATCGTAGGATACACCTTTTTAAAAAAATAATAAATAAAATAATAAAAATTTTCTAAAAACTAATATCATCCCCAAGATTAATTAACAAATTTTGTGATATTATTGGCTTTAAATTATGGTATTACATAATCAAAATTAATCACAAAATTAAGAATCTATATCATTTCCTCTCAACCATTCATATTATTTCCAAAATCAATGTCAATATCTATATCTCCACTTGTGTTATTATTATCATATAAAATGGGCAACACATCTTCCTCTTTACTTCCTCCATGCAAAACAGGTAAATTTGGGTGGGTTTTAGTAAACCAGGTTGAGTGACCCGATTTTTTTTTTGGGCCTTAGACCCAAAATAATAAAGTCGTATCGATATTTTAATGATACGAATAGATACATATTAACGTATCGAAAGGTTTAGAATACACTCTCTGATACGTATCGTTGGCGACCCGTATCTAATCGTATCTTAGGATACATATTGTGTATCATAGGATACTAATAACTATGTTTATGATACACTCTCTGATATGTATCGTTGGCGACCTGTATCGAATCGTATCGTACGATACGTATTGCATATTATAGGATACTAATAACCATGCTTAGGGGGTGTTTGTTTGAGCTTATAAGCTGGTTTCTAAAATCAAGCTGATCTTTTTATTTATAAATTTTTGAAAAAAAATAAGTTGAGAGCAACCTACTTTTTTTTTTTTTTTTTNTAAGGTTCTATATAAAACCTCTACTTGCAGCATACAGCAAGCTCATTGTAACACAGGAAAGGATGATGTTTTGCTGTAACAGATTGAGTCAATATGTAGTTCTAGCAAGATAGATCAACATACCAATATAAGCTCTTTTAAAGACCTCTCTCCAATCAACACAGTTCTCGGAAGCCACATCATCCAGAAGAAGTGCATGCTTTTTATCTTCAACTACTTTGCTACTCTGCTGCACCTTAGTCTTTGAACAATTTATAAAGTTACCAAAGAATAAAGTGTATTGTGACTGCCACAAATGGTTATCACTTGCTGCTAAATTCCATGACCTTCACATAGAGTGACCAGAAGTTAAATCCACGGATAAAATAAAATTTTCAGCGGAAATACTAAAGAAAACTCCCTACTTGCTTATAAGCTACAACATACAAGGAAGCAACTAATTAGTTAAGTGCAAATGGCCCAGTAAATCTTCTACACATATGAGAAATAAAATTACCAGCTGACTAGCCCGACAGAAACTAAAGATGGCATATCCAGGAAACTAAAGATGAGGATGAGAACATCTTGAGGCAGTTGGACAGTGCCTGAGAGTATATTTAAAAAAATAATTATGAATATAATCATATATTAACTTCACCTTCCAATAGAGAACTATGTTCAGATTAAATTATTTAAAATTCAAGAACTAAAATCACCTTTTTCATCCTGGCATGCTTTACTGCGCCTCTTATGAGCAACTTTTGCATGTTTAAATTCTGTAACAGCAAGGTTCTTTTTCTGCTTTGGCAATGAAGCCTCTGCACTCTGAAGGAGAAAATGAGCAGCGGAAACAGCACTACTTGTCTGCATCCTAATCTTAAAATAAACATCATGAAATTAGGGAAACTTTTACGAGAAAATAATACATAAATGAAGGAAATAAACCTCATGGGGTGTAAATAATGCAGTGGTTTTGAAAGGTAACAGTCATAAAAACAAATAAACAGCTGGAAAAAAGAATGGCCTTTTCTGTAGAAGAGATAGGAGTAATTTTTCTGCTCAACCCAGCTAAGGTTTAGTCCTAAACTAGGAAGACATCATTTTAATATCACGAAGACCTAGAGTTTATATACAAAGTTTTGATAAAAGAGTCACAAATTTCATGAGCAGTTCATTTAACGTCTTAACATCAATAAACGTGTGAGCAAAATTTCAGATGAGCAATTGAAATACAAAGCGACAATAAACAAAACCGTAAGTAATAATTACAACTGAATTTTATCCATGGACTCCCTTTTGCAATAACCTTTTCAAGCTTTCACTTCAGAGACATCTGATAATTATATTGTTAATGAAAAAAAAAAAAAAAAAAAAAGGAAACTTTACAGATATCAACAATTTATTTCATTCGAATATTGCTGAATTTGTTCCCTTTATAAAAGCCTCACAAAACTTGACGTTTTAATGTGAATTCATCAAAATCACGATGTGGGTACATGAAATTGATAAACCTAAAATACAGGATCAAATCAAAAAGCGAGAAATAAATAAGAAAAAAGGAGTAAAAGAAGTTTTACATACTGGGGAAGGACGCGAAAGGCGGTGAGAGTATCTTGAAAGATAAGGGATTGGGTATTCTTGGGGAGTTTGTTGTAAGCTTCTCTGAGAAGGAAGCTCAGCTCTTTACAAGCTTTTGGGTATCGATAGATTCTCGAAAGTGCTTCTTCAAGACCTAGCTTCGGGTATTTCTCTAATGGATTTGTCATTTTGGCTCCCGAAGATTTGAGCAATAGGGGCTTTCAGCAACGAGCACCGAATCAGAGGCAAAATTAGCCAAGTTTTCTGAAAAAATTATTATCACGATTGGAAGTGTGTATGAATTATTAAAACATAAAAATATAATAATATTTTAATAATATTCGTATATTGAATGCTTATCGTTTGGTTCACTTTGGCTGTTTTAGAATAGTTTTTTTTTTTTTCCTTGAAAAAGTTGAGGTGGTAGTCTTATTTTGAAAAGTTTTTTTATTTTTATTTTTTTTTATATTTTTTAATAGCATTTTTGTTAATTTAACTAAACACCTCAACAATAAAAATTTATAAATTGACAAAAACATCTCTACTCACCCATATTTGCCAGATTCTGGTTACCACCGTCGAAAGGTGGTCAAAATCTGTCGTAATGGCACACTAACGGCTGGACATGGTTGATAGCGCACCGATTTGACTTTTTTCAGCTAAATCCATCGTGGATTTGGTTGAAAGAGGTTAGATCTACAAACGCTAGATGTGGCTAGATCTGGTCGTCAATAACCAGTTTGGCGACCGTAGATCTGACATTTTCCTACTAGATCCACGGTGGATCTGGCTGGAAAAGATAAAATCGACGTACTATCGGCCATATTTACCTAGTAATGTGCCATTACGACAGATTACGGTTACCTTCCGACGGTGGTGGTTGGAATCTGGCAAATTTTGGTGGATGGGGGTGTTTTTGTCAATTTATAAACTTTTATTGTTGGGAGTGTTTAGTTAAATTAACAAACTTAAAAGGTTAAAAATAATCTAAATATTTTGAGTTGAATAAAATAATATTGTATTTTGAAGTGAATTTTGAATATTGAAACAAATATGTATTTGGAAATGATGGTGGAATAGGATAGTATAAAAATGTTGTGCCAAAGGTAAAAATGTTGTACCAAGGGTAAATTTTGTTTGTTTTTTGTTGTAATATATAGTTTATTTATAAAATCCATAGATTTTATATTTTTATAAAGTATATGGGTTAAAATTTAAGTTATTATAGTATAAGCCTTTATGTTTAATATATGATTGATTGTCATGAAGAATTTGCAATTTGATTTTCTTTTTTAGTTAAAACTTAAAAGTTTGAATTTTTGGAGTTTATTCTAACTATTTTAAGAGAGATTTATAATAATTTAAAGAATTTTTTTTTTTCTTTTGGATTCAATAAAATTGTTGTGGATTAAGTTAATCATGTCAATATCATAATTACTTGATCTTATACTTATTATATTTAAAAGTTTTCTCATAGTTACCCTCAATTTCAAAGGTTTGGTTTAGTGAAAGAGAACTTATTTAGCCTTGACAAAGTCTTAGATTTAAGTTTCCCTTGTAACGTGTATTTATTTATTTATTTTTTATGATCGAGAGTGTCAGGGTCAGTTTAACATACCTTAATTAATATCCCAGGATCCTGGAATTACCGATTGGATAAGAACTCTAGTGTATACCTCTATTAGCAAATTTAGGAGGGATTCAAACTCAGAATCTCTTGAATAATAACCCAAATATCCCTATAGAACCACTTAATCACTCAAAAATAGTTTGTAGCATGGTTTTTGGGGTGGCATGGGTTGGGGTTGAGGTTCAATTTTCTTTGCAAACTATTATTGCAAAAAAAAAAACATGAAAAAAAGAAAAAAAAAAATTGTTTTTAAGTTTCAACACTCCCTAATTCCAGTCAATTTTATTCTATAAAACTTCACTAATTGTTCATATTTAATATTCAGAATTCCGGAAAAATGACCAGTACATGAGACTCATTAGTTAATGCTTCTGCATATAACATTATGGTGTTACTAAAATCTCAGGATTTCCATATATATATGCAATCCTTCACCCACAAGAGCAAATTCTGGAATTGTAGTACCAAGTTTGCACAATACTAATTTACAAATACTATTAATTAGAAAGTTTTATACTACATAACATCATCAAAATAATCCAATAGTAAGTTCCAGAGCATTGCCAAATACCATATAATACATTCACATAATATACCTAATCAACACCCAGAATCTTCCCCTAATAATAGTTTTAAGGATAATTCCCTAATTCCAGGAACAATTTCAAACATATACTGAACAACCACAGAGTGTTTGTCAGCTTTTCTGTTTATGACAGTGCCACCATTGTTAAGCCTGGAGAAGTTGCATATCCATTTGCTTCAAAAAACTTTCATCATTCTCCACACTGATAGTTTCTTTTGTTGAGACTTGAGAAGTTCCCTGCTTTCTACCAACTACAGGAAGTAAGTTAACTGCTCCTTCTTTCTTGAACCTCCTTCTCCGTATAATTCGTTCCACTGCCTTAGCTCGCTCATTACTGCTCCCTCAGATGCAAAACTTGCAGCAACCTGCATTGTAGTATTAAAATATCAACATTAATACATAGTATTAACAAATTTTAAATCAATCTAAGTATGCCGAGCTGAAAGAAGTCCATGGCATTTCAGAGCCGAGGGCATTAAGGTTAAGTTACCTGATTCTTTGCTTGCCTCAGATCTTCCATGTTTAGAGGTCTCAATTCAATTACACGCTCCTCTTTGCTTTCTTCTTTGGCTTCTTCTTTTGAGTCTGAAGCATCTTCAGAGCTCTTCCCTGCTGCCTCTCTTTTCTTCCTTTCCTGTATAAGGTTAGTAAGAGCAGCAATTCAGATAATGTATCGTATAGTGGGAATAAAATAGGAATGCCATTGATAAGGAGGAAGAGTTTATGCACTAACCATATCCTTCATCCTCTCCTTCTGTATCAACTCTCTAACAGGTCGATACGCTGCTGTCACACACAAGTTCTGTTGCCAACAATGCAATTGTCATGTCCTGAGCTGATTTGGTCAATCATAAATTAATTAAAATGCATTTTTGTAAATAACCATAACAAACCTTGAGATCACTTCCGGTATATCCTTCTGTTGTAACTGCAAGCTCCTTGAAGTCGATATCTTCTGCCTTTTCCTTTGACAGAAGAGTTTTCAAGATCATTTCCCTGTTTTCGACTGATGGCAGACCAACCATAATTCTGCACAACATATATTTGCACTGATTAGTAAACATTAAGGTAAAAATTTAATATCTCAGTTATGCAGCCCTAGAATTGATTATTCTACAGCAAGGTTCACGTGGAAATATTTGGATGATCTTTGATAGGTGATGATTGTCATTCAAATGCATCAAAGTTGGAGTGTCAATAATGTTGTAGAATTGATTGACATTGTTAACTCCTTTAAAATAGGCTTAGAATTAGTTCCAGATGCTAATTCATTTAAAAAACAGTAACTTGGGAGAGGTAATAGTCAATAACAATGGAGAGGAGATCCCTTGATATGAATATCTGTGAAACCTTGCTTGAATTATAAGGTATAAGGAAACAAATATGAAATTTTACCTGCGCTCAAAACGCCTGATAATGGCTTCATCAAGGTCAAAAGGTCTGTTGGTTGCAGCAAGAACAAGAATTCTCTCACCAGCTTTTGTCAACAGCCCATCCCAGTGAGTCATGAATTCATTCTTAATCTTCCTCATGGCCTCATGCTCTCCAATTCTAGTTCTCTGCCCAAGCATGCTATCAACCTCATCCACAAAAATTATAGTTGGGGAGACCTTTGCTGCAAGAGTGAATAATGCTCGAACATTCTTTTCATCTTCTCCAAACCATTTTGAAGTGATGGTTGACATTGAGACATTGATGAAACTTGCTCCAGCTTCATTTGCAATGGCCTTTGCCAGCATGGTTTTCCCAGTACCAGGTGGCCCAAATAGTAAGATACCTCTGCAGGGCTTAAGAAGCCCACCTTTGAAGAGGTCTGGTCTCCGCAGAGGGAGCATGACGAGCTCCTGTAGTGATTCTTTAGTCTCATCCAAGGCTCCAATATCAGCAAAAGTCACTCCAATCTCATTTGCAGGGATAACCTCTGGCCTTAAGCGTTTCTCAAACTCATTGTCAGGAGGAACTTCCTGCGGGCGTGATGAAGTTTAATAGTGAGACAACTGATAGAACTAAAATAATTGGTGCTAAATAAAACATCTAATGTAGTCAAGCATTTAAGGTTTTTGACTCACAACCTTGGCTGATGGAGCATTCTCGCTGTCCTTCTTCACCACAGGAACTGATTTTTCTATCTCGCTTTTGCTTTCAGATGCTGAATTTTCAGTCTTTGATTCAGTCTTTGCAGTTACAGGCTCTCCCCCATCAGATTCCTGCCATTGATGAAGAAGTTATAAATCATTAAACTCGTTTCACTATGCTCAAATTGTTGAAAAGTAGAATTTGGGAACAAAACTAACCTCGGAACTGTCAGCATTGGTCTCCAGTTTGAGGGTATCTTTCCCAGAACTTTTGCCTTCCTGAAAGATGTTCAATCCATGGGACAAGCTGTTCCAGAGCCAGAAAAGTAATTACATTAAACCCTCAATATTTGACTGGTGAAAGAACAAGAAAACAGAACAAAAAGCTGATTAAGAAATCAGAATTTGCATCTACCTCTGGGATGATATAACAAGCTTTCCATTTCTGTACTCTGGATCCTTATTATTCATCAAATGATAAGATATTGCTGATACCACGATTTCTTCTATGTAATTACTGAGAACCACTGTGTCTGCATGGCAGATTGAACCCAAATCATCACAATCAAGATCATTTGCTGCAAGAACCTCAGCAATGTGGTTCTTGTTATCTTGAAACTTGAGTCTCTTCATATCCTCTTCCAGTTGGGCTTTCCAGTTAACTAGATGGTTTTCTTCTTCAGGGGCTTTGATTTTAATATTGTATGGGAACAACATACTGAGCCTCTCATCCACATCCCTGCAATCATCTCCTTGTTCCAACATCCTCGAACCAAGTATAACCACTGAACCCGAAAGTTTCTTCAACAATTTGTCAAACAAATTGTATAACCTTTGTGACTGAAGGAGAAGCTTGTCAACATCCCTGAGGTATAAAATTACTGAACCGGTTTCTGACATTGAAACCAACACCTGTGAAAGTATACAAATTTAAACATATTGAGTAGCTAAATGGCAAGCTATATATTGTTTCTGTTTTCCTAAAAGCAATTTCAGTATCTAAAATACCTTGTACAGTGACTGCAGAAAGTGTTTCTCATCAAAACACCAGCTACTTGAGCGTTTGAGGGAAGCTGAAAAGAATATAAGAATCCCAAAAGAGCAATAAGCACAATATCTATATTCAAATTTTAATTAATCAACTATGCATTTTCATTAGACAGCATTCCAATTATATGTGGTTTACTGACTGTTCTTACCAAGGCAGATGCCTACTTGAATAAAAGCCACAAATAATAAGAAGAAATTGTCAATATTATAAATCCATTTCCTCCATGCTAGGAGAGATGTAATAAATGCTCCACCGGAGTTAAATTCTATATGTTCATTGAGATGAGGAGGTTCCAGGCAAAAATCTCGGTGACAAAATCCACACACCTCGAATGTAATGTGTGTTATACAAGAGAGTGATGCTGTGGTGGAAAGAACAGAGAGAGCCCCTTCCCCCACATTTGATAACTATGAAACAACTTTGAAACACACTTGAAAAACTTTTACAAAGAAATTACCAATAAAATAATTTTGGGTATATAAGAACAATGCAGATACGTAATTTCAAGAGATGGACTACTGACCAGTAAATATTTAACATTCAGGACAGAATAGTATCTGAAAAAAAGTGGTACCTGCATTTGTTGGGGCAGAAAGAGAAGAGACGCTACTCATATCAGATGCAGCAGAGGCATTTCTGCGGAGTGGAGCATTACTAGAACCTTCCATACCACTGCTTTGCCGGCGCAATGTTGCTGTATAACAAATTCATGATCAGAGCTACAATAGCTAAAGTGGTTAAGTAGACAGAATCAACCAAATGACAATAGCAAAACAGAAACGAACTAGTTCACACTTGATGATTTAACATAAGCATGTGGAAATCACCAATACCATATGAAGGCTTTATTTTAACACTATAAACAATGGAAATAGAAACAAACAGAATTTTTAGAGAGTATGTACAACTGCTTTTTCAAGAACAGAAATGTTAACATGACAAACAAATAGATGTAAACAAAGTTTAATACCCTTCGCTTCTTCCTTTGAAGAAAGTGGTGAAAAGGATCCAAACAAACTGGACATTCGCTCTAATGTCATCTCTGAGATGGACCTCTTGAAGGCCTACAAAAAGAAGCAACTAAATCAGGAATAGGAAACCCCATTTCATGCTAATCAGTTGACTTTTCTCTCAAACAGAAGTATGCTGTATTAGCCTTGATTTTATGGAATAAAGGTAAGCATTTCCATAGTTCTCTGTTTAAGTTTTTCCACTTAATGATAAATGATGTGATCATGAAACAATAAACATGTTAGTTTGTATAAGTCAGGGAAAGCTTACAGTTTCCTTTTTGCCATAGCCATATTTGTGCTGCATCTGCAGGAACGAATCATGACAGCTATAAGTATGACGCTATAGGAATTCAAATGTAGAAAAGATTGAACTTAAAAGCTGTAAATAGTCACCTTTAAGGAAAAGTCAGGGATATCTAACAACAGCAGCTTTGCCTCAAAGAAATTGGCTAAGGCCTTGGCAAGCATTTGCTGATACAGTTCTTCAGAAAATTCAAGTTGTAACCAGATTAGTTTGAAAAACAATCTTTAAACATAGGGTAATTTCATTAATAGATTAAAAGAACTGCATATGCTAGAATCTTACCAGCAGGTCCTGAAAGCAAAATAGTCCTACTCGCAGGCGAAAGGTTCCGTGTGTGTTTGGAAATATCAGAGTTCTTTAAGTGAACAAATGCAGCACTTGTCAATAACATCCGTGTTTTCTCACTGTCATGTGATCATCAGAATAAGGACATCTCTATTAGATATAAATAACTATCAAAATTTGACTCTAATATTTAAACTACTTGAAGTTTTCATCATCTCCAATAATTATTCAAAAGAAAACCACTTGCAGTTGATCCTGAAATTTATGACTAAAAACAGCTAATAAAATCTAAAACACTAAAAAAACCAAAAAAAAAAAAAAAATGACATTCCAATTTGCATATTCCGTGAGCTAAAGTAGATATTTATCCAGTCATCAAGGACTGCAAATTCTTGGAATGCAATAAAATAAACCAACATATTCTGCAGCCGTCCTAGAGTCCAAATCTAAGAGTACTGAAGAACGGTTTATAATAAACATGAAAACCCTAATCAATTTAAAATTAGAACAGAAAACTCCAGACCCAGTATAGGATCCATAATATCTAAGATACCTTTGAAAAAAAAAAAAAAACAACCAGATACACACAAGAATTTATCCACTCTATAAACAGGAAAATAAGAAACAAATGAAACATTTCAGAGTTCACTTAGATTTTACTAAAAAAATTGTTTAAAAAAAAAAAAGGCAAGGTACAAAGAGTATCAAATGAGGAAAACCAAAACCCCCCATCAATCAGAAGCTAAAATCAGCAAACAATTAGAAGAAGGTAGAAAAATAACATCCAGACATCGTAAATACAAAGATCAGCTGAGATATCTTCTTAACAAAGGCATTTATTCACAAGATAATTTAGTATATCATAAATTTCTCTCAAGATCTAACATGCTCCCCAAAAATAAAAAAAAAAATAAAAAAAAAAAAAAGAAGAAGAAGAAGAAACACCACCAGCAACATAATCCGTAAATAACCTAATAAATATCCTTTTTTTTTTCAAGGAAAAAAAAAGGAACTTTACCTTAGATAATAAGGGAACATCAAAGGTGATCTTGCTCTGCTTCCATCAACCACCAGCCTCATCAATCCTGAACAATCTGCTCACCTGTGACACCTTCCATGGAAGAACCGAAGACCCCCATTTACTCACACTTTGCCCTGAAGCCAATCCCAACCCAACACCAAACCAACACCTACATCAAAGCAGATAAAACAAGTTCTGCTCCATCTTCACAAAAAACCAATATTTTTTCTTCACACTAACTTATTATTCCAAGTTGTGATCCCAAGGAGAAAACCCTAAAGTTCAAAAACTCCAGCAAAGAAAGAAGAGATTCAAGAAGAAAGGAAGAATCAAAGGGATGAATTTGAGGGGACAAAGAGTGTGTATAATTTTGTCCGAATTCAACGTTTGTCTAAGCTTTTTTGCAGGAAATGACTTGCTTTGTGGCTCTCCCTCTTCAACTATTTATAGCATGCTTTTACTATGAACGTTAGAAACTTGCTTGCCGGGAAAAGAATAACTATAATAAAAAAATAATTAAATAAAATATATTTACTTATTTTACTTTTACTTTTCTTGACTTTATGGTGACCGTCTTTTGTTCCTGGTTTTCTTTAATTTTTTTTTTATTGTTGTCGGGTATGTAATTATACATATATAAAAAATATTTGGCCTAATAAAACAAAATGAATAAGTAAATAATATATTTTTTGAGTTTAATTAATTGTTCGTAAAGTAAATATCTCTACCCCACTCTGGTGCCTCTCTGTGAGCTTCGTTGTCTCTTTGATTTTTTTTTTTTTTATCATGCAATACTTGCAAATTATTTGCTTATTGTTTCATATGAAAGATTAATATTCCCAATATCATGACACCGACGTTACTGCTTTTCCTCTCAATAACTATAAATATTATTAAATTAATTCGCTATGGTTATTTCAAAATTTTTCTGAAATTAGACATTAAATGGTGACAACTACAAATAATTAATTTATAGTGTTTGTTTCTTATTTCCTTTGCCAACCTAATTATTATTATTATTATTATTAATAATTAATTAATTATTTCTTCTTTTATTGATGCTTTACAGAGCAGCAACATGGAGGATTCAAAAAAGTTTATGGCACATTGTGACTTCTTTATAGAAAATTTGGCTTTTTTTTTTTTTTTTTTTTTTTTTTTTTTTTGAGTTTTTGGTCAGCTGCACTACACGACTAATTTAAGGCGGTCTGCAAAAAAGTTGTTTATCTCTTTTTAAGCTTAATTAAAAGTGTTATGGATGGTAACACTGAAATGCTTAATACTTAAGTTTTTGATTAATTGTTTATAATAAATTAAGAGCATTTACTTTAATTTCTTTCTACAGTTTGTTCTGAATTGTCAATTGTTTGGTGGACAAGTTTGTAATAGTAATAGGTCAAAAAGTTAAACAAAAAATAAAATTTTGATGTGAAAGAGGGCCAGAAAAAAATAAAGAAGACAAAGATCAATTTGAAGCTACTGAAAGCCTTCAACTTTCGTATCACTTTCCATATCAGAAGTTTTTTCTTTTTTGAGAAGAAATTGATTCATAATCTTTTCAATTTTCCTTTTTAATTCAGACAATTTTACAACTATTTTGCCGACATTTCAATTATAATTAAACACGTAGTCAACTATTTTAGAGGAAACCTCTAAGTGAAAATGATTGCCAATAGTAAATATTTTTAACCACTCTTGGGTGATGATCGGGTAGGATGATAGGAAATTTTAGGTATATCATTCGAGATGTCTTAAGTTTAATTCTCATTCTCTCACTGTTATATTTATATATGATTGTTAATTTTAAGACTTGAAGGAATAGTTGAGATATGAGCAAACGGGCTTAAATATCCTGGTTACCAATTTTTTATTTTAAACATTGAAAATAATTATTTTGATATATTATTATGTAAGGGATCTGACACTTCTCATGTGATATATGGACAGTGTAAGATAATATTAAGATAACATTATGAGCATACGAACTATAAAACAATTATATGTGAATCTTTTCATGAATTACATAATAAAATAACTGTCTCTATTTTAGATTGGAATTGAGAGAATGTGAGTATATAAAAATGGTTAATGCTGTAGAAGACAACTAAAGAAAGGCATGCTTTTGGCAAAAACGAATATTCTCAACGTGGAGAAATAATATCAACGAATACAAATTAACCATTTGTGCTTTCATCATCGAAAAACAGATTATATTTAAATTTATATTTGTCAGTGGATTTATGAAGAAATTTCAAAGTTGGAATTCTAAAATTATTTGTTATACTAAAAGCATGCATGTTGATGAATGAAGTCCTAGATAGAAGGTCCCCATGCAATGCAGGGGAAGGGAATCGACAAGTGCTTAGCAATAGGAAGAAGGAGAAAAAATTTAAAGTAAATCAATCTTTTCTTTCTTTGGATTCTATATGCCTCTTTTAACTTCATTTTCCCTTTCACTTTCACACGTCATCTGTTTGAATCCTTGAGTATTCCGTACGTTAGAAATGTATTCTGTTGGTGAAATAGTATTTGTTTTGTTTCTTTCTTCACACAAGGTGAACGAAGGGGGGGTCTTGTTAGGGCCAAAAATCGTCCTCGGCCCAAATAGGGAAACAAGATCACTGGTAAGAATGACCGGCCCAATCTTGTAGAGGCCCAATTCGGATAAACCCTATTTGATACGAAGTATAACCGGCTCGAACTACATGGGCGCGAGCCTCTTAAGCCTGTCCAATATCTAGCCTATGGTGAGTCCAGAGCCCATAGCCCCTTCAACATTTTCCTATTCTTGATCAATCCCCTATTCCAATGTCGTCTTCCTCTTTCCTGGCGATTTTCCCACTTGAGGGTCATTCTCCTAAATGGAATAAACTTCCTATCTAGACACTGATAAAGACACTGATTACGGCCCTGATTCTTTTAGGGTTGGCATCAGAGTCCACTAGGACTCCTGCTCCCATCAGATTGGAAGACGACGACCACTTATAAGCAGAGGTCAGCCCTCTCACAAAGGACATCGACATTACACCTTCACACCCAGAACTCTTTACTTGAGTCTCGCTTATTGCCGTAGTCACAATCCCGATTGGACTTCGGTAATCTCTCATTCCCTACCCTCACTATATTAGCCTTTCAGCCTTGCTGACTTGAGCGTCGGAGTGCCTACGCAAACACCACCCTGGTGTTTCCCGTTCGCTTCACGCGTGTGTTTCTCTACGTGTGCAGGTACAGCAGATCGCTAGTGCCTCAACCACCCGGGATCAGACCCCCCTTTCCGTATAGGTAGATTTTTACGTCTACAGTTTGGCCACCCACCGGGGCCTCTAGCAATCATTCGCGTGACGGACCTTGCTACTGTAGGAATATTCCATGGCTGACAATCCAGACGACGTTAACTCAGCCCTCGAGGCCAGACTGGAGGCTTTGACCGCTCTCATGCAACAAAACTGGACAATGGTGCCACTGGAAGCCGAAAATACATCCATCAAGGTCGAGAACCAGTCGCTAAAAGAGAGTAAGTCGATTCTATGAACTGCGTTTCTCTTGCCTGACCAAGCCCCCCCAACCGGTTCCGCACCACTATCCCATCCATGCAACCCCTCTCTACACCGGAGCATCAACCCTCTGATTCAGGAAAAAGGCCCGCTCAGTTTAACGCACTAGCTCTAAACTACTCCGTTCTGACTAACGAGATAAAGATGCAACAGTCCACGTTCCAGTCGACCCATCCTAGCCTCATGATCAAAACGATCCCGATGTAGAAAACCCGAAGGATCAACCATCCCCACCATACCACTTCACCTCCAGTCACCCAATACAAACCCCTTCCTGCCCGGCTCACCCGCGGGTGTAACGCCAACCAAACCAACTCCAGCTCTTGAGCCCATCCTCCAGAAAGACCGAACGACACCAGACAACTCCCCTGACTGTTCATGTAGGGAAGACACAATAGAACAGTGACAATGGAGTCATCCAACCAGAAGGAGTGAACAGACAGCACATGCTACCAGGAGCGCACGACGACTGATCTATCAGTCTACCCCCAGAGGGTTACCCCACAGACTACAGACCCGTAAGACGGATGACCCGTTTTCCCCTTCCCCTGTGGACAGTTACTGGCCAAGAGACTGCCGACTTTGAGGCAGTAAATAGGCGTATCCCAGGAATGTCAATCCCAACCAAGAAGCAGACCGAATTGTTACGCTGATTCACCCTTTGCGATGAGATCGCCCTGGCTGACATGCCCCGAAATTTCACTATCCCCAACATGAAACCATATGACGGTACCACTGACCCTTGCACCACATACCTCTACAACAGCGATTTCACTGTTTCCATACCTCGACCGCTTAGAGAAGCATGCATGTGCAAAAGTTTCGGTTCTAGTTGTCCGCGTTGGCACTCCAATGTAGAACACCCTCCCGAACGGATCCATCGATTCATTCGCTCAGCTTACTGACACCTTTGTGGAACATTCGCCAGCAGCAAAAGCTAAAAAAGTTATCGGTCGACTTGTACCGAGTATCCAATGAAGGGGAAACATTAAGAGAGTATGTTGCAGGTTCAACAAAGAGAAGATCTCTATTCCCTCCTGTAACCCCGAGACTGTTGTGACGCTTTCAGAAAAGGGCCTCCTCCCAGTGGAGAGCTATACAAAGACTTACAAGCTGGGCTGCACCACCATGGAAACGCTCTGCCCAAACCGTTATCCAGATAAGGTGGGAGGGAAATGAGATAACCAACCGCCCATTCCAAATACGAACCAAGGCGGAACGACACGAAGCCAGAGCCCTAGACCGGTTAGAACACCACTACCAACCCCCCGCACGCAATATGGGCAGAGCCAGAGACCCATGATCGCCAACCCTTGAGAAATGATAACAGGTTACTCCGTCAAACCAGTCAAAATACCAAAGTACAGTCTCAACGTCGAACCAACCCAGGTCGTAGCGATAATGAAAGGAATGGGATCCGCAGTCAAGTGGCCTGGTAAGCTCATCCGAGGCAAGAAGACACAACCAAGTGGTGTGGAGTTCCACAACGATCACGGGCACAAAACCGCAGACTGCATCGCCTTGCGGCTCGAGGTTGTCGCACTTCTGAAGAGGGGCATCTCTCGTGATCTACTCACTACGGGGAAGAACACCATTACCAGAAAAGCTCCAAACAACAGTCGCCCCCTCCGCGAGAACCCACACCGAAAGTTTTCTGCTTGCTAATCTCCAGAGGATCAAAAATCAGTGGGTAAGTTACTCGTCAGCGAAGCGGCATGCTAGATCTAACCATCATAAGTCCAGTCCATCCACCCGTCTCGGGTCATACTCCCATCAGGTAATATTCAGTTCGAGGATGACGAACTAGTCACCCTAGCTGCTCCTCACCACGAAGCTTTAGTCCTCTCCCTGCAAATAGCCAACATCCTAGTGAAAAGAGTGTTCGTAGATAGGGCTTGCGTCAGCAAATATCCTATTCCTCGAAGTAGTCAAAGCAATGGGCTGGAAGAAGCAAATTCAACAGCGACCGACACTGCTAGTAGGATTCAGCTCGGAGCAGAAATACACTATCGGGAGATCATCCTTCCTATCTATGCCGCGGGAGTAAACAAACAGACAGTCTTCCTGGTGATCGACTGCCCATCCCTCTACAACGTCATTTTGGCCGCCCTTGATCCACGACATGCGTGCAGTCCCATCTACTTTCCATCAGACAATCAGGTTTTCCGACTAAGTAGGAGTACGGGAGATTAAGGGTACCCTAAAGCTTCTAGGGACTGCTACAAAAACGCTTCAAAGGCAAGGAAACTCTTCATAGCAATTAAGTCTCATCCAACCCCTCAACAGAGCCTGACCAACCGACCATTGAGGAGTTGGATGAAGTGCAGATACATCCGAATGACCGAAAGAAAGACACACATAGGCCCCTCCTCGACCCCAAGACAAGAGAGAAGCTGATAGAATTTCTAAAGCAGAACGAAGACTGTTTCGCCTGGTCCCATGCGACATGACCGGAATCAATCCAACGCAATGGTCCACCAGCTCAACGCAGATCCAGATCACCCGCCAGTCAAGTAAAAGAAAGGAAATTCCGCACCTGAGCGGAACCAGATCATCAATGAAGAGATTGAAAAGCTTCTAAACAACGGCATGATCAAGAGGTCCACTACCCCGAAGGCTGGCAAACGTTGTAGTTGTAAAGAAAAGAAACGGAAGTGGAGAGTCGCACATCGACTTCATTGACTTGAACAAAGCCTGCCCCAAGGATTCTTCCCCCCTTCCACATATCGACATGATGGTAGACGCGACCGTAGGCACGAACTGCTCTTTCATGGATGCCTTCTCGGTATACAACTAGATTCTGATGCATGCGACACCAGGAGAAGACTGCCTTCATCACAGAGAGGGGAACCTACTATTACAAAGTGATGCCGTTTGGATTGAAAAACGCTGGAGCCACCTACCAACGTCTTCAACAAATGTTCTTTGACCACTTGGGGAAGACCATGGAAGTGTACTCGATGACATGCTCGTCAAATCCATGATCACCGAACAACACCTTGACCACCTTAGCCAAGCATTCGTCTTCTCCGAAGTAAAACATGAAATTGAACCCAGAAAAATGCTCGTTCGCGTCTCACATCAGGTAAATTCTTAGCTATATGGTTACTCAGCGAGGGCATAGAAGCAAACCCCACCAGATCAGAGCGGTCCTCAGCATACATCCCCGACTTGCATCAGATAATGTCCAGCGCCTTGTAGACGAGTGGTCGCCTGAGCCGCTTCATTTCCAAACCCTCAAAAAATCCAACAAGTTCGATTGGACCCCCTCATGCGAAAAGCCCTACAATAGCTGAAGAAGTACTTGACCACCCCCCGCGCTGCTTTCCCAAACCATGGACGGGGAGAAGCCTACACCTTACCTAGCTGTCTCAAGACGGCCATATCAACGGTGCTAGTTTGGGAATAAGAAACAAAGCGTCACCAGTCACTACATTACAAGTCGCTCCTTGACGCAGAAACTCGATACAGCCAACTGAAAAGCTTGCCCTCGCCCTCATCCATGCATCCAGGAAGCTTAGACCGTATTTCCAGTGCCATCCTATAGTGGTGATCACCCTCCTTCCCGCTCAAGAAAGTATTACACAAACCAGAACTATCAGGCCGACTCACGTATATGGACGTATAGCTCATCGGAGTATGACGATCCTACCAACCACGCACCCCGTCAAGTCCCCAGGCACTACAGATTCATTGCCGACTTCACACCAACGCCACCCACCCACGGTCGAAAAAGAATTACTATGCATGAACGGCGCACCACCCTCAAAGTGGACCTTCCATAGAACGGATCGAGTAATGTCAATGGAAGCGGACTCGGAATAGTACTGATCACGCCAGAGGGAGACATAATCTAGCGAGCGTCCGTGGTGGTTTCAAGTACACGAATAACGAGGCCGAATACGAAGCCCTCTTAGCGTACCTTGCCTTGGCCGAGAAATTGGCGCCAGAGAGAGAAGTGAAGTTAGACTCCCATTCGTGTCAATCAACTACGGGTACGTACCAAGCACGTGATTCAAAAATGACATCCTCTCTGAGCATGGTCAAAGAGCTGCAGGGCTGAATTCGAAGAGTTCTCAATAGTACAGATCCTTAGAGCTGAAAACAACCATGCCGACGCCCTCGCCAACCTTGGCTCCACTCCCATGTTCCTCTCAGTCATCCATCCCCCTCCTATTCATGCAATGGCCAGCCAACTGGAAGAACCGCCACCTACAGTCTCCTATAGAAGCCATGGGCATTAAGCAAGCCGACTGTTGATGACCCAATAATAAGTACCTGGAAGACGATGAGCTCCTGGCTGGCAAGCACGAAGCACGCCGATTGAAAGCTGTGGAGAAATAATTTTCTTGTTTCATAATGAATGTACAATGAATTTATAGCAAAAACGAAAAACTAATCTAGGAAGTAAATTTTTACATTCCTATTATAATTCTATTTCTATATTTACAAATGAATAATTCTATTTCCTATATTACAAAAGAATAATTATCCTATATTACAAAGAGATAATATATTTCCCTATTTTACATTTCAACACTCCCCTTCAAGCTGAGCATATAAGTCATATGCACCAAGCTTGTTACAAATAAATCCACGAGAACCTTTGAAGACTTAGTGAGGATGTCTGCTAACTGGTCGTTGGAACTAACATAACTAGTTGAAATACACCCTGATAGAACTTTCTCTCGAACAAAGTGACAATCAATTCTATGTGTTTAGTCCTCTCATGAACACTGGATTTGAAGCAATATGAAGGCAGCCTGATTTCACAGAGTAATTCATTTGTGATACTTCGACAAATCTCAACTCTTGAATTAGTTGTTTTAACCAAACCACGCTCACAAGTGGCTAAGGCCATTGCACGATACTCTGCTCATTATTGATCTTGCAACAACCGCTTGGTTTCTTACTTTTCCATGAACAGGTTTCCTCTAACAAGAACACAAAATCCTGAGGTAGAACGTCTATCAAATGGGAACCTGCCCAATCAGCATCTGAATACTGACAATATGCGAATGACCCTTATTTTTCATACAGTAAGCCTCTACCTGGTGCTCCCTTGATATACCTTAAAATCCGGACAACTGCATCCCAATGACTATCACACCGAGTTTTGAAGGAACTGACTCACAACGCTGACAGAAAAGAAATATCCGGTCGGTGTGATAGTAAGATAGTTAAGTTTTCCAACCAATCTTCGATCCTTCCAGGATCAGTAAGAGGCTCCCCCTGTCCAGTAAAGTTTTAAATTAGGATCCATAGAGAGTCTATTGGTCTAACAATCTGACATCCCTTTTCCTCTGAAATATCCAGTACATACTTCCTCTGGAAATAACAATACCATTTAGACTGAGCGACTTCTATGCCGAAAGTATCTGAGTAGCCCTAAGTCTTTCGTCTGAAAGTTTTTGAACAAGTGTTGCTTCAACTGTTCAATGCCATTCTTGATCACTTCCTGTAATAACAATATCATTGACATAGACACCCAGATAGATACACTGCCCTGATGATGTATGTCTTAGAAAACAAGTGATCAGACTCACATCGAATCATACCAAACTCTTGGATACGTGCTAAATCGTCCAAACCAAGCCACGAGGAGACTGTTTTAGACCATATGAGACGACGAAGTTTACATACCAACCAGACTTCCCCTGAGCAATAAAACCAGGAGGTTGCTCCATATAAATATCTTCCTGAGTTCACCATGAAGAAAGCATTCTAATATCCAATTGATGCATAGACTAGTTTCGAATGGCAGCCATAGCAAAGACAACCGACGAAGACATCTTAGCAACAGGAGAAAAAGTGTCAAAATAATCTGTCCCGTAGATCTGAGTGTATCCCTTGGCCACCAAACGGCTTTCAGCCGATCAAC